CAGCTCAAGATCTATTGGATGTTAGTAAATTTGCTCCCAAATCATCTATTGTACCTTAATATAATAAACCTATATATAACTCATCTCAGTCACTTTCTCTTCACAACCATAAACGTCATAACTTAGTTGTGCAAAATGCACATCCAATGATGATTAGAGGAAAGACAGGGCATTCTAGGCTTAAACCCTTTCTTGTCCATAATAAACACTACTTTTTCAAAGATGCCATATATCATCCTCAATGGTTAGAAGCAATGCAGGCTTAATACAAAGCTCTTGTCTCCAACAACATATGGACTCTCGATGACCTATAAGATTTCTTTCCAAAGACAAAAGCTTGGTCTACAAACTTAATAAAGCTCTATATGGGTTATAACACACCCTTATAACATGGTATGACAAACTAGCACAAGTTATCATTCTTTTTGGTTTCACTCACAGTAAATGTGATCACTCTCTCTTCATTGAATCCTCTCAAGGAATAACCATGTATGCCTTAGTATATATATTGCATTTGAGTCACTAGTTCTTCGTCCAAACTAGTTCATGATCTCATCCATATACTTCATGCCAAGTTCGCTTTAAAGAAGTTAGGAAATCCTGCCTATTTTCTGGGTATTGAAGTTACCTATCAGGTCAAATGTGTGAAATATATGTTAACAAAAGCCAACTTGTCTGAGGAAAAAGGTGTTGTTACACCTATGTTAAGCCATTGTAAGTTGAGTAAAAATGGTACTGGAATTTTTCATAATCCTCTTTAGTATTGTTCCGTTGTAAGGGTTCTTCAATATGTCAAATTTACATGGTCGTATACGGCTTTCTCTATCAACAAAGCTTTCCATTTTATGGCTACCCCTTTTGAAAGACACTAGTTAGCTTTCAAACGTATCTTAAGATACTTAAGTGGCACTGCTTTACACGATATCCTTCTCATGTTGGCTTTTGTTAATCATAGTTTTAATCTTCGTGCATACATTAACTCAGATTGACAGGTAACCTAGTTAATAGACGCTCTACTTCAAGCTCGTATGTTAATTTTGATTAAACTTGATTGCTTAGATCTCAAAAAAGCAACCTCTCATAGCACGACCAAATGTGGATGCTAAATATTGTGGTTTGACACATAGTACTTATGAAATACTCCTTCTGATCTTCTTTGATAGAGTCTTTATTCACTAAACTACATATTCCTTTTCTCCCTCCCACAATCCTCTGTGACAACTTAAGTTTAGTTAATCTGGTAATAATTTATTATAAATGGTTAATCATTAGTTACATGAGAAATATAATCTATAACTAGTTTATTGTTAAGTGAAATTTTATATAATGGGTGGAAAATAGAATAATATAGAAATCAATATTCCAATAAAGAGTATCAAAATTATTTTTAAAATTAAGAGAAATTAACTTTATAAATAGAATATACCAATCGATAATCAATTAATCATAATGTAATCTTGTAGCTAATGACATTAGAATACAATTAATGGAAAAAAAATGAAATTGACTAATCCAATTGATTGATCTCATGATCAATTTGTCAAATAATTTTATCTTGATTGTGCTAATAGAGTTGAACCCATTGAATTAAGTTGTTTCAAATAGTGTCTTAAAAATTGAATTAGTTTAGTCGGTCGAATCGGAAATCAGAGGTGTCATCGGTCTGATTTAATTGACAAATTAAATAAGCTATTGAATCAGTGAAAATTGATCAGAATCGACCAAAATCGGTAAGAATCGATAAACTGATAGTTTTGAAAAATTAATGAATTAAATGTTAGTTTTTTTCCTCCGACAAATCTTAATAATTTTTTAAAAATGATTTTAAACTTTGTTCAAATTTTATCTAAAATAATTTTTTTTATTAAAAATAAATTTTTTAAACATTGCACTAGCTTATTTTGTTATTCAATTTATCTTGTAATTAAGGTTTATTCAAAATTTATTTAAATTTATATTTTGTATTATTTTGTTGCGTGTGAAAAGTGATAATTATGTTTTGAATTTGAATCTAAATAAAGAAATTGTAAAATTTATTTAGTCTTAAAAATCAATGAATTAATATATATGTTTTTGTTATAGATATGGGTTTATTTTCGATCAATAAATTTATGATCTACTATCGAATGTGGTTTAAACACTTCTTATCATCTAATTTAAATGTGGTTGAACTCATTAAACTTAGTTACTTCAAAGACATTGAGAGAGAGTTTTGTTATTTATTGGCATCAACTTCAGCCATTAATTTTTGTGGTTGTGCAAATAAAATATTTGATTTATTTTTAAAAAAAGATAATATCTTTTATGGTTTTGCATGGCATTTATTTGGAAAAGTAGGAGAACCTAACCCTTAATAAGATTTGATTAGTAAGTCACATTCAATTGAAAAAAGGCCCACTACCACATGCAAACAAGCCTTCCAACCCATCATTTCCATTTTTTTCATTTCGTCGGCGGCATATGCTGCACCTCCTTATCTCTTGCATTGTTTATTTTACTCATATGTCCTTTTCATTTCAACTATAATACATTTTCTTTGGACCATTAAAACCTCCTTGCCAATAATAATAATATCTTAATATCACGTTATCGACTTCATTTCTTTTTTATTCGTGAAATGCTTAAAGGATCATAATGATCATCAATTGTGTTATTTGAATATTAAAGTACATATACATATGTATGATATTGTATGTGTTTAATCAAAAATATGTTTGGTTCAAGAGAGAGAAAAAAAAAGAGGGAGAAATTTTAATCAAAAATATGTTTGGTTTACAAGGGGAAGGAAGGAGTTTTAAAAATACTTTACTTTTTTACCTTTAAAAGATTATAACGCTCTTGTTAAATAAAGTAATATTCGCAAAAAAATGTTAATTCATAAACAACATAGATAGTTAAACACAAAATATTTAATATTCAAATGCTCTGAAATATATTAAAGTGTAAATAAAATATTGATAAATGTCATAGAATTATTATATGATCAATTTTCAGATGAACTATTTCATCATCTTGATGATCCATCAAATCCTATAAAATATCACTAGTCAATGTGTCTATAAATTAATTGGTAGATAGGAAATTAAATGGTTTTAGATGTTTAATCAATTAACTTGATCATATGTGAATTTGACTTGATGACATATGTAGTTCATTCTTTTTTTTTTTTGCCTAATGACCTTGAAGTATGAATTTTCCGTCATCTTCTATGAGGTTATGACAATAAAAAAAATTGAGTGTTAGTATTTCAGAAAGTTCTAAGATTATTTAACCAAGGTAGATTACTCGATCCATTTTTTAGAAAAATGGAAATTATTAAGGCCCTCAACAAAATCAAAAGGCCTCTATAAATGTTCATTCTTCAAGAAAAAAAGGACAAATCATAACTCTTACTAATCATACCGCTTAGAAGCTTATATATAAACATATCATTTATCCACATAGCCTCTCAACTCACATGAGCAAGACTTCTAGAACCATTTTAAAACAACATCGTACAAATTTTTTTTACCGCCGTGGATAAACTCTAACCACCATACATTATAATATATCTACTAAGACCTCTAAATTTTATTATTTTTGTAGGAGGAACATACACTTGTAATTTTTAAAATACTTTTTATTTTAAATGAATCACTTTTTATAAGACGGAGAGAATATTTTACGATGTCTTTAATCTCTATTAATATTATATTTATTATATCGTACGGCAATGTAAGCTAAACCAAGCATTATACAAATATATAGATGAGTTGCATGAGAAGGAAACGCATCAATTCACATGTGCATTACAATTTCTGGTTTTTGTAGTAAAAAAACTTAATTTCTTCTAAAGTGTATGTGCATCTTATACGCAGTAATTTGTGGCATGTGGAGCAACTATTTAAATTGACCATGTTGTCCCCACCACCATTGATTCGGATCTCACATGTGTGCCCCTGCCATATTAGCCATAGGGCCATATCAACAAACTTTTAACGGACTCTATTATCCAATCAATTGCTGCATGTACATGGACAAGTATGCCCCTCCATTCCCATTATTAGCATTTCATATATGTGAACCCTTGTAAAATTTTCTTAATATACAAGGACTTGTCCGGAAAGGACTATGTTGGTTAACAATAGTTTAATTATGAAAAACTAATCAGGGTTTCTATATAAATACGATTTAATTATCATAAATATTTATGAGTTTTCTTTAATCATAATTTTATTTATAAAAATAATAATCCAAGACAGTTATTAAATATGGGAAAAAGACCTCACATACTTATAATAAAAACCTTATCATGCAATGAAGCTACATCACCAAAACCAATTCAGATTTTTCATGATGTAGTTATTGATTTATTTATGGCGCAGGTTATTGAATGGACGTGATAAGATACAGTGTTATGTGGACGGCTAATAGATAACATAAGAACCAAGGGCTACTTTAGTAAATTAACATATCATACTATTTATTCCAATTTCTAACCCAAAAATAAAGCTCTTATTTATATATTCTCTTATATAAAATATTAGAAGTCATCGCAATAATACCATTTTTATATCAGTTTATCATATTTTGTTTTTTTGGTCAAGAGTTTATTACTACTTTATATAACAACAAAACGTAAAATATTTTCATACCGTTAATGTAGTACATAAATTATTTATTTATATTATTTATTAAAACTCTCTCTCTCACACACACTCTCTCACTCCAACTACGACGCTTTCTCTCTCTAGAAGTACACAACAACCTTCTCCTCGAATCTCCCTCTTTCAGAGGGAGTGTGCGCGCGCGTCACCAATTTCGGTTAACGGATTCGTTCTTTTCTTCAACAATTCAAAGCATCTTTTTCTCGGTAATTGTCATTTCAATCTTTCTCTATCTCTCTTTTTCCATATACGGTGACTCATGACGTGGATTGATTTATCGTTTGTTTAGGTTCGATGAATTTTTCTCGCTTTTCTTGATAATGTGATGTGATCGGTGACTGATTTATTATCGTTATGGCTACGAATTCAGCGTTCGAAGGTATCGCTTTCATTCGTCACTTTGTTATTTTGTTTAATTTTGTTATGGATTGTGCGTGTATTGTTCCGTTGAAATTGAGATGATTTGATTCGGTGTAAGATTCGTTATCTGTGATATGCGTTATTGTTATTTCACGATCTATCTGTTGATTAATCTGTGTGATTTGATTTTAGCATTGTGACGTATCTGTTTTAGCATTGATCATTTGTTATTATGTTTTATATTACGTTAGATTTGTTGAAATCGCACTGAAGCGGCTTGATTTTGTAGAAAAGCTGATTTCACTGTTGATTTGCCAAAATCACGTTGAGTCAGTTTAGTTTTGTGAAAGCTAAGCTTTTATGAAAGTGCGGTGGTGGTTTAATGTGATTTCGGAAAATCTATCTTGATACTGAACTATGTTTTCACTTAATCTCTATTAAATTTTATGGATTATATGTTACTTCCTTGTTCTGTTGAAATTGAGATGATTGAATTCTCTGAGGCTGCTTCATGATTTATATCATCTCACGTGATTAAATGTTGTACTGCTGAATTTATTTAATGATTTACCTGTTGATTAATCTCTGATATGATATTTTAGCATTGTGATTTGTGACTTATCTGATTTTTGTGTGGATTGATGCATCAAGTTATTTTTTATGATTACGCATCTGCAATTGCGTTAGTTGTGGTTGAATCAATTATATTTAACCCCAACTTTCCGCAATATTGGGAACCACAACACGACAACGATTTAAAACTTGCGATTTTCCCCAATATCAAGGATCACAACACGGCAACAGTTTAAAACCAAGTTCTCCAGGTGTTTCTTTTCTGACTGTTGGGTACTGATTGGCGTTGATTTTATTCTTTTAGAAAAAATAATACTTTCATGAAAGATGTGTTTACCTTTTTTATTTGATTTGATTAAAGTTTATTTTTCTTTACCTTTTGTGATTCTGGCGTTTGGTTTAAATCTGTGCTATTGTCTTGCTGTTAGTATGAGCTGCATTTAGGGGACATATAGTTTGCGTTTCAGTTTTATTGATGCCCTTTGAAGGAGGAAGGATATTGACTTAAATAAGCATATAGTAATACTTTTTTGGAAGTAAGTAAGCACATAATTTGATATGTGATGTGCCAGCAACTAAATTAGTTGGTATAAGGAGGTGCCTATAAAAGTCAAAGGAAGTTAAGCCCAACTGCCTAATTTTCTGACTTGATTAGTCTTCATTACACTTAGCTCTCCTATATTTAATGTACCATTAGGCTTCAAGTGGTTGGGATGTCCTTCTATATTTTATGTAGTCAATATTTTGGACCATAAAAGAATTGGGCCATTAACTTGTCAAACGTGCCTGCATGTAGAAAGATAAATTCATAATAGTTTCTTGTATAAAGTCCATTATTTATGCTTATAGGTGCACAAACTTTTCAATTTCTTGATATTGACATGTTTATCAAAATGCAAGTTGCAGCAGAAGTCTTTGTTGAAAAAGTCTTGTTTCCTTCACAGCTTGGAAGTTTTGAAGTTGGAATGCTCTCATGTATATAATAATGTACTAATATTTTTTTTCCTTGATCCTAGGTATTGCTCTTGATCCTTCTAAATGTAGTAAATTGAGTATGGAGGAAAAGAGAGCGCTTGTATATGAAATATCTAATGATGGTGCATCTGAGATGCTGCAGTCATGGAGCCGTCAAGAGATTTTGCAAATCTTGTGTGCTGAGATGGGAAAAGAAAGGAAGTATACTGGGCTGACAAAGTTGAAGATTATCGAAAATCTTCTGAGAATTGTTTCTGAAAAGAAATCAGGCGGCCATGATATTGCCACAGACTCTGAACCACATTCTTTTCCTGCAACTGGTCAGAAACCTGCGAAAAGGCAGAGAAAAACTGAGAATCCATCTCGATTGCCTGTTCTTGCAAACAATGTTACAGCCAATAATGGTGATGTAAGTAATAATACAACCTACTGCAAAAACTCAGCATGCAAGGCTACCTTAAATCAAGGCGACGCATTTTGTAAAAGATGTTCATGTTGTATTTGTCATCAATATGATGACAACAAAGACCCTAGCCTGTGGCTAATATGCAGCTCTGAAGCTCCATTTCCTGGTGTTTCTTGTGGCTTGTCATGTCACCTTGAGTGTGCTTTAAAACATGATGATTCTGGAATTGGCAAAGGGGGCGAACGCACCAAACTTGATGGAGACTTCTACTGTGTCTCTTGTGGGAAAGTAAATGACTTACTCGGGTAAATTCTATACAGATGATTTTCATATCCTTAGATGAAATAGCTTATCCATTTAAAAGCTATTTTAAATTTGTTTTCCCTGTTTTTCTGTGTCTTGGCGTAAATTGTTTTCTACACTTGAAGCTTTATGTACATTCAAGTTATTATTGATATTACTTGGATTAAAAATGATTATATTTAGAATTTTGTTGTTTACAAGATACAAAATAGACATAATGTACCGAAATAAATGATTGGAGTCTTAGAATTTTCTTCATGCTAAAGAAATAAGTTTAGTCAACGAGTCATTTATTATTTGTCAAAAGACTTTCAGAATAGACAATGAGTAATGATATAAATTCACAGAATCTAACAATTTTTTTCATGCTTAAAGTCTATTTAAAGATCTTGTGACCAATTGGAAATCTATCTTTCCGCTTTTAATCATTCCCCCCTTTCCTGTTGGGCCTTCAGGCTCTATATAGTAGGAAATATAATCATAGCACTTTTCCGTTCATAATTTTCTTTAAACATGAACAAGACTGCCATGTCAAGATTAATATTAGGTATGATCAGCATTGTGAAAGAGAAAGATTTACAAATTATTTAATGTTCTTTTAAATTGCTTTGCTATAGTGATTAGTGAAATCTACTCAGCACAGTGGAGAATGTTCTTTTGAATTGCTTTGCTGTTAATCAAAAGAACGCCAAACTGTTATTTCATTTCAATATGTGTGTGATGAGCTATAGTCTTTTAAGATGATTTTTGGGAAATGTGTTGGGTACCTACAATCTCATTTAGTTTTTAAATGTATTAGATGCTGGAGAAAACAACTGATGGTAGCAAAGGATGCTAGACGCGTGGACATACTCTGTTATCGTGTCTCCTTAAGCCAAAAACTTTTACAAGGGACAGAAATATATCTAGAACTTTATAAAATTGTTGATGAAGCAGTGAAGAAACTTGAACCTGAAGTGGGCCCACTGACTGGCTCGCCATTGAAGATTAGTAGGGGGATTGTGAACAGGCTTTCTTCAGGACCCGAGGTTCAGAAACTCTGTGGTGTTGCTCTTGAATCACTTGATTCAATGCTTTCTAGAAGGATCTTGCCTCCATTACCCAATCCAACTATTCAAGGTGATCAATCATTTTTGTAAAAAGACCTTGCCTGTTTCACTGATTTTAAAATTAGATGATGATCCATGTGACTAGCATCGTAATATGGAACCAACTACTTTACTTTTGTCATGTATGGTAATTGATACAACAGTATAGAATAATTGTAATAAGGAGAAATTAATTTTGAATGAATAGGTTTTACATTTAAGATTGTTTATGTGTAAGTAATTTTGAGTAATTCAATGAATAGGTTTTATATTTGAGAATGTTTATGGATAAGTAATTCAATGTAACTTCCGGTATTTTTGGTGGACATACAAAAATAAAAACTCATGACCACGTGTGACAGTGTTAACAAACTTATTTGTGTTTACACTCTCACATAAGGTAACTGACCAGTCTTTGTTTACATTTTCAGATGCAAGTTTACTAGCTCCAAATATGGTGAAGTTTGAAGATGTCACTGCAACATCCCTCACTGTTCTTTTGTGTTTGGAAGATTCTATGGGAGAACATAATGCTGGTTACACCGTGTGGCATCGTAAAGCTGATGATTTGAACTATCCATTGGACCCAACTTGCACGACTCTCCTACCAAATAGAAAGCTTGGCATCAGGGATCTACTTCCAGCTACAGAATACAGTTTGAAATTTATTTCCAATGATTTGAGCAAGTCACTTATGTGCGAAGTTCAAGTCTCGACAGAGCATTGTGAGGATGAAGTCCCGAATTGCTCAGCAACGGAAAGAAGTCAGAGCCCAGTAACCAACTGTAGCAGCCTTTCCAATCCATCATCTGTGGAAGATGAAACTAATCATAGCGACCAGACTGATAATCGATCAGATAATTATCCTTCTTATCACAAGGATAGTGACCAGCTTGCTTCTGGAAATCTATCAAATGATGTTATTAATTGTTCCAATCTGGGTGGAGTGGGACTTCCCACCGATACAGATTCCTTGTCAGACAAGCAAGCTACTGTGGGAATGACTAGCACAATACCTAGTTCTGATATACTAAAGCTTGAAAACAAGCATTCACAAGAGGAACAAGTAACTGAGGACATGAGCACTGATGATGGGTCAGTTCCAACGGGAAGGGAATGTGTGCCCTTAGTAGGTTGCTCAGAAGGGAGCTTGCCTAATACTCCCAGCAGGTTGGAAATACTTAAAGATGGTTTGGGGAAAAAAGGTAGATCCAAATTCAGTGGCAAAGATATGGAAAAAGGATTTGGGAAAAAGGGTGGCCCTCGAGATGGAAGCAAACCCAAGAAGAGAAGTGGTGAAAGGAAAAACGAGGGATGCGAGGCTAATGGTTTTCCAGAACAGGATTTTGAGTATTATGTGAAGGTGATTAGATGGTTAGAGTGTGAAGGACACATTGAAAAGAACTTCAGGCAGAAATTTCTGACTTGGTACAGCTTAAGAGCAACCCCTGAAGAAATAAGGATTGTGAAAATATATGTAGATACATTTCTTGAAGATCCAGCATCTCTTGCAGAGCAACTTGCGGACACCTTCTCAGAATGCATATCAAACAAAAGATCATCAGTACCTGCAGGGTTCTGCATGAAGCTTTGGCATTGACGAGATTTGAATCTCTCTTGGGTTGTGATGAAATAATTATTTAGATTGATGACATTCTTCATTTAGAGAGTCATCAAATATATTTATTAAACATTATCATTCATATTTATGTTTTAAGAATTTTAGATTTACCTAAATTATACAATTAGTACTATTTCAAACTGATAAATTATCAGTGCATAACATTGAAGGGTTTCTGCTGAAATGAATAGCATGTAGTTTCGGTCAAAGTAGACAATAATGTTCTTTTAATATCAATGGATTTATCCATAAATTCAGAGTTCCACAAGTCAAACATAGATTTTCATCATCCATAAGTCAAATATAGATTTTCAGTTGTATGTTGATAAGAAAGAGTTTTATCATGAACTTTTTATTTTGGTACTGCTACTACTTGGAATGCTGTAATCTTTTGGAAATTAGACAGGATTTAAATTTAGATCATCCAGAAATTCAGTATGGTGCTGCAAATACATGTACGGTTTGATTTAAAGCCTCTAAATTTAATCCGCTATACTGTAGATATAGAGAATCTAGGTTCCATCTTTTAGATTTCGGCAGAATCTTACTCCAGATATAGAAAATATAGGTTTCAATATTATGGATTTAGGCATTAGATGAAAGAATCTAACATCCTTTTAGAATCATAAAGGTTAAACTCAAAAGTCTCAAACCAAAAGTAGTGACTTTTTAAACTAGTTCTAGCTGCATGTAATATAATCACACAAGTCTATTGACTAAAGTTTGGTGTTTGTTTGAAGGTATAGATAAAATATATGCATCCCTTTCCCACCATCAATTGAGCATTACATATGCATGGTTGATATATTTTTTGCTTCAGGTGGATCAACCGAAGATGTGAATTAGAGTCCCAACGTAGTGGAAGATGGAACCTTGTCTCATAAGAAATTGATCGAAGTGTCCACCATTATAGTTTGTTGATACCGAGGAGAAACCTATAAGTGTTATAGTGTGGCACATCCAACCAAACGTGTCTTCCATGCATCAGAAAGGCCAAAAGAAAAACATTGGGAGGAATCTTTTGTGTATTTTATTTAAACTTGTTGGCACAGCACCATGAATTGGCGGGGACCTTTACTCCAATGGTTTACAAATGTTATTAAGTAATAATATTAAAATAATCTATAATGGTAATTATTGTACTATTTTTTCACAATTAATTAATGTCCATTTTCTTGTGCCCACTATCTTCTTATATTACTTAACACATCACACTCATAATCACCCAACTCTATTCCATTCTTCATTTCATCTTAACTACTCTCTCTGCTTCCTTCAAAGATCATTCAAATGTCTGCTGGAACATTTACAACTCCAATTGCTGGGCCTACCTTAGTGGGCTTCAAATCCAACTCATCAAATCTTTGGCCCAACACTCATCCCATTGATTGGAAAAAGAAGACCGTTTCCAATGGTTCTAGAATCCACTGCATGAAGGTTAAGTAATCTCAAGCAATGTTTTTTTTCCACTTCTCTAATATGCTTTTGATTTGTGATATAATTTTGTATGTAACTTGAAACAGACATGGAATCCCATCAATAATAGGAAATTTGAAACACTTTCCTACCTACCACCACTTTCTGATGAATCCATTGCAAAAGAGATTGACTACATGCTCAAGAAAGGATGGACCCCTTGCCTTGAATTTGATGAGGTTAGTTCAATTCAATACACATATAGCTCAACTGGTATTTATAGTAAATGATAACATTATTACTAATATGGAATTTGTATTGTTTGGAAATGGAAGGTTGGGAGTATTCATAGAGCAAATAGCCAGATGCCAGGATACTATGATGGAAGATATTGGACATTATGGAAGCTACCAATGTTTGGTTGTGTGGATTCTTCACAAGTGATTAATGAGATTCATGAATGCAAAAAGACATTTCCAAATGCATATATAAGATGCATAGCATTTGACAACAAACGTCACATGCAATCCATGGCTTTTCTTGTTCACAAACCTACTACTACTACTACTTAACCTATTTGTTCTTGTTTCTTTTCAAATCTTTCTTTGTTGAGATTCTGAAACTTGTCTATGTACTTGTTTTCTCTCTTTTGATCTTGCTAAGATGCTACTCATTTAGTGGTTTATGAATAAAGTGGATTTAACATCCGTTTGTTATGTCCAATAAACAATTAAATGCCACCTCACACCACACTCTAATAATCACAAAACCAGCCCATAGATTTAGGTTTTTGCATGCATGCCTTGAAATTGTAACCAACATTCAAAAAGGGGAAGAGATATACTTGAATTTATTTTATATTTTATAATAAATCTTTTTATTTTATATTAATAATCATTACATCAAACAACAGTTACATTAAACCACTTTGATATTTCAATATTATAACATTATTGCACTTCATTTATTAAAAATATAAGATAGAATTGGGTATGCAAACTTAACCACTTTGTATAAACTCAAACATTAAACGGTCTAAATTGATTTCTGCAACTATTAAGCTTTGATATATAAGCTTAAGCTCGAGTACAATCCGCGTTAGTTCACATATAAACAAGTAGATTTGCAAGTCTTAACATAATAAATAAATAAATAAATTTCTATTTTGTTAAAACAATTTAAAAAATGATAATATAAAAAATTATTTCTTAAATACTAAAATATATTATTGATAATTTAAGTTATAATTACTAAATCCTTTAACTTAATTTAATATTTTATTTTAGTTTTTTAATTAAAAAACATTACACTTTAGTCTTTTAAAATTAGTTTTGTTAGCATAATTGGATTTTTATGTAAATTTTTCCTAAAAAAAAAAGGTTAAATGTTGCCAACCTAAGATGACAACGCAACAAAATTATAAATTTTTTATTATTTCTTTATAATGATCATCTTTAAAATAAATGGTGATATTTTCCATTATTTCTCTATCAAAATATCTTTCATAATTAAATTTTACAATTACTCCTCCATTTATCATCATCTCCAACTCATTATTATTTTTTTATGAAATTCGATTTGGTCACATTATCAGATTTCCTTCAATCCAAAATCATAATTATCTATTGTCTTCCACCAATCAAGAACCACAATAATCCCATAATAAATCAAGAATTTATCATTGTTCTTCATAAATTCATAAAAATAAAAAACTCTAATCCATTTTTCTTTCACACTTGTTTTGAAAGAAGAAAAAAAAAAACCTCTCTTACACACTATTGTTTCGCGATTTCGCGAAAAATGACACAGAGTCGCCACCAGATTTTATTTATCCTAAGGAGGAAAAGGGAAATAACAATAAAACCTTTTAAAAAAGAGCATGGTCATCGCAATCAAGTTTTAGGGTTCGGGAGTCGGTTATGCGAGGGGAATGTATTAGCACCCCCTCACATCCATCGTACTCGATTGGGAACCTTCTAAGTTATTTAGCTTGAATGAGTGTTTTTAATCTAAAAGTTTGCTTGCTTAAGAGAGAAAGGGGTTGGTTTTTTATTAGAGTGCTCGCCAAGGATTGGGACCCTTGTGCCTACGTATATTCACTTGTAAGAAGTGAAGAATCAGAGCATTCGTAGTTCATGGGACTACGGTGAAAAATAGGATGTTTGGGTGGACGATGCTTAACAAGCGTGTTCCAGTAGTTAGGTGTATTGCAGCTCGCTCGTGGAGTCTTATGCGTTACCTGTTTGCGGTAGAACGGACGTAACATATCTTTTTTTGGGTGACGAGGAATGGAGGACTAAAGGTGGAAAAGAAAGAAGAGTGCTCGCTAGGATCATCGCAATCCTATGCCTACGTATTCTCAACAGGTATGAGAAATCAGAGCAGCCGTAGTTCGGCCACTTGAGAAATGATTGTGTGTTGGTTGATTTTATACCTTAAAAAAGGGTTTTCGGATGATGCTCTAAGGCGAAAAAGAAATTTGATGAGTTGATGTTATTTTTATGGTTTTGAAAGGAAGTTCTTGATTAGGATCACACTAAAGACTTTGGGTAGAGATGAATATCTCGAATATCCAAGTCGAGCGCCTTGTATTCAAAATATTCGGAACGAGTGTAGGAGTGGTTCCATTCTCATTCCTTCTCCACCACTTTAAAGCTCGTGGTGCGTAACCCTAATCATATCTTTATTGTCTTTTGGATTTTTTATGATAAAAATACCACTTGATGTTGGGTCAAGGGTTTTATTGCTTGTTAAAAAGTTTGAGGTGACGCGAACAAGGTTGATGGCGATGCACAAGGAAATCGACTTACAAGGTCAAAAATGGCTCGATAAGAATCAAGAATTTATTTTAAAAGAAAAGTTTTTCGGAAGCAAAAGTCGGGATGACATTATTAATATATACATACAATGAAATGTGAAACAAGGTCAAGTTAGTTGGTTTGAGGACACAAGTTAAATTTCACAAAGTTTTTCCTTCAAATTTAAACTAAGCATGGATATTTAATTAATTAATATTTTAATCAATAAATATAAATAATAAACTATTTTTCTTTTTTTTTATATTATCATTTTTTATCTTTTTACCTAAAAGAATTTGGAACACCAAAAAAAACCTCAAGGAAAATAAGAAAATAGCAAAAATAAAGCATAAAAAAAAAAGCTTAAAAAATGGCATAAAGTTAGTTGTGCGAACTTCATACTGAATTTTCCCAGAAAAACATCACTAAGTTCGCTGTACGAACTTCCTAGCGAATGCACACTATTCACAAACAGAGGCGAAAGGGGCCAAAGTTCGCTGTGCAAACTTGCCAGCGAACCTGCCCAGAAGAAACATCAAGAAGTTCACTGTGCGAACTTCATGCTGAATTTGCCCAGAATATGCATTTTTCACAGAAACAGAGGCGAAATGTACCAAAGTTCGCTATGCAAACTTGTCAGCGAACATGACAACATTTTGAGTGTTTTTTTAAGTGTTCTCATCTCTCTCTACAAAACTCACTCTTGTTTTTTCTATAATATCCAATCACTCTTGAACCCTCATTACACACATATGTATCCACAAATACTATCCTAACTAACAACAATGATAAAGTGTGCAACAACAATGCAAGCATACAAAAGTATATACAATAAAATATAAAGAGAGTAAGGTTCAAAGAAATGGATACCCAAGAGTTGCTACTCTTCTTCTAATCACCACTGTTGTTTTGTTGGATGTATTTTCTTCTTTGACACTCTATGTTTCTACCTCTCCTTTTTTCTGTTTTTCTTTCTAAAACCCTCTTGTTCTCAATGTCACCTTTCTCTCTTATTTTTCTGGTTTTCTCCCTATCTCTTGCTCTCTATTTATCTTCTTACTGCTGCTCCCCTCCTTATAGTCAAATAATAGGGTTTCTTTCACTTGTCTGCAGAATCTTTTCATTGGGATATGTTTCTCATCACTTTCTTGATGCCAAACCTAATTCTTTCCATTTCCATGAATTCAGCTTTGCTGTATTTTTGCTGCTACACTTGCCTTGCCTATTTTTTTCTACTGCATTTTGTCTTGTTTCCAAACTTGAACCCATTTGTTTGCTTGTGCTTGGACTATCCTTGTGGTCCAAGTTTCTACCTTTGACAGCATTTCAAAATTCTGATATTTAGATGCATCATTATGAGTTCATTCCTTTGGTTTTGTGACATGAATTGTTTGGTTATGAGATAATTTGTCATTTCTTGCTTGGGGAATTCATGGGATTGTTTTAGATCACATTGAAATTGCCTTGAAATTGCCCATGACTAAGCACTAATAGTCTTGATCTTGAAATGTTCCAATGTTGAATTAAACCTTAATTGTTTTCCTTGGATGTTTGTAGGCTTATTTGGTTATGAATCATATGAAGGCATAATGTAGAACATGTAGACTTAATGAGGCATGAAGGGTGTAACACCCTTCTTTGGGCTGTTACAAAGGGCACCATAGTATGAAGTTGATTAGAAACTTGAATTAAGGTTAGAAGTAACTTAACTTTCTAAGCATTACTTAGAGTTGGAAACTTTGTAACAAATGTGACATTCTTGCAATGTCATGAAATTTCCCTTTGTAATATTCTTGAATCTAATCTTGAATTCATGAATCTTGAATTTGGAATGATGGGTCTCCCTTATGCCATTGAATTTGAAATGGATGAAGTCTTGAATTATGAACTTGTGATCTTGACTCATGTCTTGAAAATTTGGATTCCACTTGAACATAGAATTGGAAACAAAGTTGGATGAAGAAATCTTGAATTAGGCCTTGCACTTCATGTTCATTAGGAATATTGATCTTGAATATCCTAATATTTTTCAAGTAACTTCTCCTTGAAGAAATCTACATGAGTAGACTTTCCAACTTGAATCAAACCTTAGATGATGAACCTTTCTTCAATGCAGCCCATGATAGGCATAACCGGCAAGAGCGCACAACATTCTTTCTTCATCGACCCCGATTAAATCAACTTCTCTTATTTAAACCAGACAAAAGAACATTGAACCAATCCATGCACCAAAGATGTATGATATGATGACTGTAGGATATGAAAGGCTAGGGTGAAAATGAGGGTGTGACACACACTTAGACCACCGGCACCCTAGGTATGGCAAGGAAACTCGGACCCGCTCAGATCCGACCCGAAATTAACGGAGAAAACCCGATTTAATTGGATGCGGGTGCGGGTAAAACCCGATTTTTTTATTACGGGTGCGGGGGCGGGGGATGCTACTACCCGCCCCGCACCTGTTCCGATCTACTTTAATTTACTTTAATGTCTTATTTTAATCATTTTATTATACATTTATTGGAGTTATTTTAATTTTTAAAAATAGTTTTACTAGAGTTATTTTACTTTTTAAAAACATGTTTATTAGAGTTATTTTACTCTTTAGAAACATATTTATTATTAAAATGATTAAGTATTTAATTAAATTATTAATTTTTATTATTATGAAAAAAAATATTTATTTTTAAAAAATTAATTTTTGCGGGTGGGGGCGGGTCTGGGTGGTAATTTTTTACCCTCGACTGAGTTTGAGTGCGAGTGCAGATTTGTTA